GTCATGTATTTTATCATCTGATCTGATTGTTGATAAAATCGATTACATTTTATTAGAATATTCTAAAAATTGTGAATCAAATTTATTTGCTTATAATTCTGTAAATTGTTTCTGCTGACGATTTTTCATGTACATACTCAATCAAAACCGAGTCTGCAATTTTTATTTGATTTCGTTGTGATTAATGCTTCCGAGGGGTCACACTTTATTCAGATGTTTATATTTCACAACAGCAAGTGTCAAGCGCTGTAAAACGTTGCTCCGTTCTTCACTTTAGTGTTTTTATATTTTTCTGGTCGTTCAGGACCATTGATTCTAACAATTTTAACTGTTGAAAATTCTTCCACTCAAGCCGGTGCTAGGGGCGTAAGGGATGTTGCATTTTTCATTATTCCTCATGTACAGACTCAGTTTAACCAAGTCTGCAATCTGCATGCAATTTTATTGTGATTAACGCTTTTGAGAGATCGCACTTTTTCTAGATTTTTATATCTTGTGTCATTTCCATTAATTTGTGGTATTTTCATTTCGAAGACGACACAATGCATCATATTTAAGCTATTCTTAAAGAAGAAGATATTACAAGTAAATAATCAGATAAGTTATCATAAGGGCCAACCGACTCCGTGCCCGAGTGGTTAAGGTCGTTGACTTCAAACCACTTTCCTTTCATTGCAGTAGGTTCGATCCGCACCAGTGTTACAACCGGTTTTGCAATAAAACGAGTTTCGCAATAATTTATTGCAAAACTCTTGTTGCGATGACATAATTTTGTTGTAATTTTTCACAACCAGTATTGCAATAAAAACGGACTTTGCAATGAATTATTCTTATATTAGATTTGATATCAAGATCATCCTCTCAACAGTGTTATGTGTATCTTATTAGTTCCCTACCGGTTTACCGGAGGGGACTTTAGGTTTACCCTCCGTCCGTCTGTCCGTCCGTCCGTCTGTCCGTCCGTCAGTCCGTCCGTCCACAAAACTGGATCCCGTGATAACGCAAAAAGTACTGAAAATATTTTAATGAAACTTGATATATGGATAGATGGCAGTATGGAGATTATGCACGTCTTTTTCTTTTCTTCCTATGTTGAAAATTCTGGTTGCTATGGCAACAAATAGACTGAATATATGGCAAATTTTACACATAACCTGGATCCCGCGATAACGCAAAAAGTACTGAAAATATTTTTATGAAACTTGATATATGGATAGATGGCAGTATGGAGATTATGCACGTCTTTTTCTTTTTTTCCTATGCTGAAAATTCTGGTTGCTATGGCAACAAATAGACTGAAAATATGCCAAATTTTACACATAACCTGGATCCAGTGATAACGCAAAAAGTACTGAAAATATTTTTATGAAACTTGACATATAGGTAGATGGCAGTATGGAAATTATGCACATCCTTTTCTTATCTTCCTATGTTGAAAATTCTGGTTGCTATGGCAACAAATAGACTGAATTTCTAGATATCTGATTCTAGTTTTTAAGTTTTTTCACTATAAGTTCTTTATTTCTTAAGGTATTTTCTTCAAACTTTAAATATAAGTTGCTAGTCATCAACCACATCATATGTGACAAGGTTTACAACTCTAGCACAAAATTTATCAGAATTACCTCCCTTGAACTTAAAATTTTCATGAAAAAAACATTGTTTTTTTTTTTAATAACTTCTTTTTTTCTGAATGTATCTACTTCAAACTTCATATAAATGTTTCTTATTATCACTCAACATTTGTGAGTGTTCAATACTCTAGCAAGACTATGTCCAGAATTATGCCCCTTTTGAACTTAGACTTTTTTTTTGAGAAATTGGTAATTTTTACCCAACTTCTTCAATCATGATAGGATTTTCTTCAAACTCCCACATCATAATAATATGACAAGGTTTATAAATCTAGCATCCATATTTCCAGAATTATCTCCTCCTTAAACTTTTAATTTTTCCTATTCGTTCTTTTAACTTTCATTTACTTCAAATTCAAAATAAACATTCAATATTCATACCTTCATTACTAATTGTTCTTTGTTACACTCACATCATGTTTGACATCGTTATCTTCTTTTTAAATTTTTTTGCTTTTAAAAATGTTATATTTTGATAACAGGGATGTTTAAAAAATAACTTTAGAGTTTTTTTCAGTCCGTCTGTCTGTCTGTACATAAAAACTGTTTCCTGTGATCACTTTTAAAGAACTTTTTCAACAAATTTACTTAAAATAGAAACATAAGTGAATGGCCAATGGCCCTTCAGAATGTTGCTTGGGCTCTTACCGGTAGGGGACTTATGGATTGCTTGCAATACTATGATAATTGCTTGTTGATATAAGGATTGAAATTCAGTGAGTTTATTTATTAAACTTGTTTATATGATTTAACATTAATTTCCATCAATTATTAATTGCAAAATATATGATAATTGAATGGGTTTTTTAATAAAATATCAGCACATTTACATTATTAACAACGATTGTAGTTTTGGAAATACATTGGACAAAACTCTGTGATATACATATTTGATCTTAAAACAGTCTCGAAACTTTCAAGTACTTTTCAGAAAGTGTAAACGATATTATTGCAAAACTTGTTGCGATGACGTAATTTTGTTGCAATTTTTTCACAACCAGTTTTGCAACAAACTTGTCTGGAATTTTTAATCTAAACAGGAACGTAGAAATCTATTTTTTTTTGTTGTTGCTAAGTGTGCGCATTACTTTTTACTATATGAATCCTTACATATTTGTCATAGAGGTTGTTTCTTCTTGCTCAAAGAATACTTAATATCAAATAAAGGAAATGACAAATATTAATTCATCACATCATTGTTCAGAGTATATCAATTTTGCTGTTAAACTATAGATATTTATCCCATTATTGTATTATTTTTGTATGTTTTGTATTTTTCTTTCGTTATAATTATTACTTGGTTAATAATCAAAAGTGTTTCCATTAAAAAGTTATGTCAAACTAATTGAAACAGGGACCTACGCAAAGTCATTTTTCAAAACGTACACTTGAAAAATCACCCACTTTATACTAATTAGTAATTAAGTTGTCTTTAAAATGACAAATATGCATTATTAATGGTTTTCGAAACATAGAGTTTTGGAAACAAACATAATTTTCAAATACCTTTGAGATAGATATTGAGTGTTTCTTGTTGTTTTGTTTCTTTCAACAATTGGATTGCAACGATGCAGTAAATGAAATATTAAATATTAATACCGTCTCTACGTAAATAAATGAGCAAAACAAGGTTAGCTACGCATAAATTCCGCCAAAAATCAATTACGGTTTTATGGGCACAAATTAGCTTTTGCCATAGATCATTTCCCTTTAGATTTGACCCGCGGTTAACGTGCATTTACAATGCATAATTCACGTGCGTTTATAATACCTTGTTCACGTGCACGTTTATAATACGTGATAAACGAGTAATTTAGTTTCTAAAAATAGATGAAGGTTGCTTGTGCTTTAAATGACGTAGTACATATACTTTTAATTGAACGCACCTCCTTCGTTATGGTAATTGACTTTTCCCAACATATTAAGGGCCATGTAATTTCTGTAACATTGCGTTACAAAATATTATATTATCTAAACATTTAGATGTTATATGTCACTTACAATCAAACGTTGTCCTTTTTGAAGTTGTGGACAAAAAGTAACACTTTGTCCAATATCTAATAAGAAATCGTGAAAAAATAACTCTTTACCAATTTCCAATTCAACTGTGAAGAAGGTGATGTGTAAATAGTTAAAGTCAAACCTGTGTTTGCAGCCACTCCACACAAAGGTCAATCGCGGAGAAACAATCATTGATTATTTATACTAAAATGACCTCTGAATAAAAGTCATCTGTCAATAAAGGCCATATTTTGACTTTACCATGGGTGGCTTTTGTTTACAAGTTAGACTGTCAATAGGATTTCTATGAAAAAAAAGTTAGCGGCAATATTTATATTTTTTTGTTCTGTTTTAATTTTTCCCTCATTACGGACAAGACAAGCCATCAAAACTGCACCCTTGTAGCTTCCAGTACATCCCTTATTGATCTTCGGACTTCAAAGTCGATTTCTTAAGAAATTAGATTTGCCAGCGATAATGTGTGCGTCAATTATTCATGTCAGCCATGTTTTACTATCATGCGAATACAAACTTTTTCTGCTGGTATCTGGCTTTGTAAACTAACCATAATATCGTAATTTTCGAACAGAAACATATTTTTGTAAAAGGGGTAGTCGTCAATATTCGTCAGTTTTACATGTAGATCTGAAACAATCTGCAAATGTTCCGTTAGAATTGGAATTACTATTTTTTGTTGTAGATAAATTGGACTTTACATATACAAAATAAAAACCATAAGTGTGCTCGGCATATTGTAATTTCACATTCAGTATAGATGGCCAATTTGATTTGCCTATTTAGTATAGCGTTAGACCTAGATCAGACTTCCATATCTTGGGTGGAAATAAATTCACCTTTTCCTCTGCGGTAAAGAGGCAAACGAAAATAGGTTTTAAAACATAGCGGCCTTTTTAAAAGCTACGTATATGACATTGTGTTAAAATTGTCAGTAAACCAAAGTCAAAGTCAAAATATTTTTATTTTTCATTAGTTCACAAAAAGTGACAACATGATACTTTCCAAAAATTTAGAAAACATTAAACCGTATTAGACATGTACGGAATCTTAGAGGGTACACACGGTGTTATTCCTTCTTGCACATGGTAATGGGGCATATACCAGTTTGAGGTCTTAATAATGTTATTTTTCACGAGGCCCCTGTGTGTTTCTGTTTTGTAATATTTCTATAATTACACGCGCGAAATTTGCGCGAGACTTATGCGTGAATAGAACAAGTAAAATATGTCAATAAATTGCACGGAATAAAAATATATCAAGGTAAAAACTAATAGATAGTCTATGCATGATAATTAAACGGTAGGTCACGTAAGAAAACTATAAACGTTTCTGTTTGCTGAATTTCAGAGTGAGATTCCAGTTCTTGAATACGACTCTGACGTCGATGTTGAGGAGCAAATGTATGACGGACCTCGCCCCCTCACGGATACAGCAAGAGATTTCCATAATTACCGCAGATTTGAGGGCGAATACGACAAAGTCCGGCCAAACTACCGCAATCCGGCACATCAAAAAGGCTCAAACGGATGTCTAGTAAAATTCTTTTTAAATGGCAAAAGCCAGCATAAAGGTCATATTATATCTATAAATAACAAAATGAAATCATTCCAGACATTGTTAGATGATCTTACTAAAAAGTTTGGGGTACGTATCGATCATGTGTACAACTGGCCTCATGGCAAGGAGATTACTGATTTATCACAGTTTCACAACCGTTGTGTCTACGTGGTGTCACCTGCTGCCAAGAAGAAAAAGGGGAATGTATTGATTCCAGTAACTTACGGTGCATCCAAAGAAAATTACTGGTCCAACAGAAAGATGTCTGGCGGCCGGCGGAGACAGGAAAATGAACTTTACAGGAAGGATCAAGAGTTTAAAGAATCTCCTGTAAGAAATATGCCGATGGTAATCAGTGTCTCTTACAAGTCAGCGCCTGAGAGAAAACCAGAAAAATTCATTCTAAATCCACAAACTGCGCAGGAATTTGAAGACTGGTTGGAGGACCTTTCTAAGCCGAATTTGCCAGTCCGAGCACTTTACTCGGACAAACCCCCTTATGCACAGGTAAAACAATTGATATTTATTTTAACAAGATATCATACACGAGTACAATATTATTTACCCGGGCTTGTTCGAGTAACATATGATATTCTCGCGCTTGTTTTAGCACTATATGATCTACTGATTGTTCGAGTAAATAATGATATGTATACACGCGCTTGTTCTAGCTAAAGCCAATTATGTACACTAAAAAGCTTTTTATTTCTGGTGTACTTTTATAGTTTTGGCAATTAGTCGAGTTAAAATGATTTAGTATTTTGTTTTGTTTACATTATTTTTTGCTACATTTATGACGAATACTCGTAATTTCACATTAACCGCTACCTTTTTCAGTATACAACCTTCTAACATGCTCTAAAATCATTGTTTTAATGTTGTAAAATGCATGTAAAAATATTCAAAATTTGGTCGTGTCCGAGGCAAAGTGTGCCTTTTAATACTGTTCATGTTTTTAAGTAAAATTTTCATTGCCAATTATAGAATTTTTTTTCAATACATGTGCTGATTTACTATTGAAAATCAAAAATCACTCGCGATTATTCGAGTAAAATACTACTCACCCACTAGCTTACACGATTACAACACTGTACACTCGCACGAGGACCGAACACTCATGTGTTAAATACAATATGCAGCTTTGAAATAATACAACGCTTGTGTGTGCGTGTGCGCGCATGTGCATGTGGCATGCGTGCTTTATTTTTTTGTTGTTAAAGATAGTAAACATATTCTACATTCTTGTACATTTGAAATAATTGCTAACTTTGACCAGTTTTCTTTATATGTTTTTGTATATTTACAACGTCTCTTGCGATATTCGCATCGTTTCATTGTTATCAACTAGATATGTAACCGGTAAGACTTAAACAACTTGTAAAAATGTACATGAACTATTTTTTAAGATGAAGAGTTACACACATATCTTCCGGGAGCATCACACAAACAGTGGTTTTATAGCGTGCGCCGAGGAGATGAAACCGTCGGAATTAAAAAAGAGACAGGCACCCAGTAGCAATTCCAGCTCGGACTCTATTGGTGACTCGAAAAACAGAAAACAAAAGTTACAGAAACAACAAGATATGGGTATGTACACGAATGCTAAGTTGTTTCTTTATGCCATGCTTTCAACCCTCCCCCATTTTTTAGAGAAAAAAAACTAAACAACATAATTTAACTAAACTTAAATTAACCTCTCAAATTTTTGTAATGGTTTTACTAAGATTTGAATTTGGAACAGCCCATTTAAAGTTTAAAGGAAACAAAAAAATAAGTGGCTAACAGTATAGAGCCTGTTCAGACTGCACTTAATTGTAAAACTGGGTCAAGTACTAAAAGTGACATTATGCTCAAACTCAACTGAAATGATTGTAAATTTCAAAATATTGACTGTTATGATGGTGATTGACCAACAGTTGGTATTAGAAAATGTTATCATGGATAAACTTTTAATTTGCATGACATATAAAAAGACACTTTTATGAATTGAACCTCACAAGTTAATTCCGATTGATATATACAGACACGTTAGTTATTTATCGTTCGTGCAAAAATATTTATTTAACATGTTCACTCACTATACACCCTTAGATAGGCATAATGTAGTTTTGAAATATTCTTAAGCCGGCGGATGTCTTTACCTGTACTGTTGGCCTTAAAATATTTTCCTACCATTAGTTGTCTTTGAGACTGTGACAAGGTCGTATCGCACTTCCAGTGGGATATGTTTTATAAATGAAAATGTTCGAAATAATTACAATTCTACAGTTCATTTATCATGCATGTTTTAAATTGAACGATCGTTCTCTCATGTGAAATAAAGCATGGCCTTTTAAACATAGATCTACTTTAAACATTGCATTATTAATCACTGAACATTAACGTAAAACATCATATTTCACTTAAACGTTTTCTGTTATTTCCATTTTACAGCGTTGGGTTAATTAATCTTAGATTTGTTTGAAAGGATTTTTAGTAAAAAAAAACGAAAGGATTTTAATTGAAAAGTAAATATTGGATTGTTTTTGTTTTTCAAACCTTGTTTTTATTAACATTGATCATATTTTGCTGATGGAAAAAAGCCTTTAAGTTAACGAAATTGTATTTTTAGATTTGTGAATAAAATATGAAATAAATTAAGTAAAATTCGTATTTCAAATTCAATGGCACCATTGTCTTAAAAGCACCGTTAAACTACTTAAAATGAGCTTCACATATTGAAACGGGAAGTGATTAGTTTAGACAAATTTATTTTAGTTCGATTGTGTTGGAAGAAACACACTCGAACTAACCAGTACTAAGGAATGAATTTCTTGCTTAATAAAACAGCTGCTTGTCCCTGACAGGGTTTGAACCCACGCTGTCAGCAATTCTTAGATTACTAGTCCAACGCGTTATCCACTCGGTCATGCCGCCGTGGAAGTGATTAACTGTACCAGTCTGAACAACCGTGTATTCTGACCAGACTCCATACTGTTGGTAGCTAAATATTATATTTTAATATTTTAATCTCGATAACTTAATAATATAAAAAGCAAATAAATTGTTATAAGAAAAGTCAACAAAAACTTCACATGCTGTTATGCTTTAATATTGAACTATCAATAGGAAAGGGAGGTAAAAAAAACACTGACCTGCTAAATAAAATGGAAATTCAAATCGTTGGCGTTAAAAAAGATTCCCATTATTTCTTTTGACAAGCCGGGACTGGAAATTTTTTTTTTCGAGATTCGTGTTCCATTTGATGAAGGTCTAAATTTTTGTGCAAAAAAAGATCATTCGCTGCACCGTTTTACCAGAATAACAGAATAATTAATATTTTAATTGTAAAAAAGCACAAAAATAATATTTTTAGATTTAAATATAAGAATATTTTTACATTATCGTGTGTATGTTTTTTTGTTTTTGTTTGTTTTTTTTTTTTTTTTGTTGTTGTTGTTTTAAGTGTCTTAGTTGATCTATGCCAGAAACTTTAATTTAATGTTTGTAGGCTTTTAGACCTCAGTGGAATTCCTTTGAGGATTTTTCGTACATTGTTTCATGCATGTAAAGAGGTTGCAGCCAATATTTCATGTAGATCTACTTATTATATATTTTGTTTAACATAATATTAATAGACAAGTTGTGTTAAAATAAATATAAAAAGTAGATCTACATGAAATATTGGCTGCAACACAACTTGTCTTTTAAGATTGTGTTGGCGGCATTTGTCAATTTTAATAGTTTCTCAATAGCGTATATTGAAATACAGTAGAATAGCTACATTATAAGTTAAAGTACTTGTTATATTTCATCTCTTTACTCTTTTTCTATCTGAAGGTCAAATATACGAAAACGGAAGTCGAGATTCGTCTATCTCTACGGCTATGTCTCGTTTTGACAACGGCCAACAGCGCAGTCAGTCAAGGGTGCGCGGGAGACGGAAAGATAGCCGACCAAGAGACGCGGGCTCAGATAACTACGTACAGGTAGAGGTTGACGGCATCCCAAGAGGTAAACAAGCTTTAGTCTTAAGGTTGAACACTACAAAATAACTATAAAACTTTCTGAAATACATGCAGGTCAATACTTAGAGTACATATTAAAAAGGAAATCAAGTGCGCGATGTGCTTCTCTTAAACTGTCACAAGAAAAACAGGCGTTTCCTTTTATGATAGATATTAACCTCTTCAGCATTTAACCTTTGTGCTCTTCACCCAAAATATTCATCTTTGATCAAGCGGATAAGCGCTGAATACGAACCAATCATCGGTGTGGGTTCAAATCCAAATAGGGATTAGAGATTTGAACTTGTTAATATGATAATGCTATCCAATTAGCTAATGGAAAGTCGGTGGTTCAACTCAGGGACCCGCTCGTACCGGGAAAATGCCTTTCTTTACCACTATAGCCAAGAAGTCGACACATAACCTTAACAGTGTTGGGTTCAAATTCTTACAAATGAGTAGCCTGAATTACCGTTAGAATATAAACATATGACATTATCTACATAATTATTATTAAATTAATTTGTCAGGTTATATTTTCTTGCCTTAATCAAATGATTGGCAAAAAATCGGATGTTTCATCATTTACCCACCTTTTAATATAATTTATTGAAGGGATTTCACTGATGATTTTTTCTATGAGGAGAACGAAAATGATTTTATTTATGATATTGTAAGATTTTTGGACCTCAGTGGAGTTCCTTTAAGCAGGGTTCGCCTTTTTTGATGTGTTATCATTTTAGTTATTACTTAACATAATAGCGTGTCTATTTATTTACATATCAATAAATATTTAATATTGCATTAGATACTTTTTAAGGACTTATTATTTTTTTCAGAATTTTACCCTCCAACCACTAAAAACAGCAAAGATGATGGTGCAAAACCACCAGGAATGCTTAAATGCGAATGGGTGTATCCTTTTTTCAAATACTGTATATAGATGTGAAAACATTTGTATTAATTTGATTTGGGTTGTTTTTCGTGAAAAAAAGTCAAAACTTTGAAAAACCGCTGAAAAGATTTTCATTGGCTGGTTAAGAGGGCTAATGGCTCTGGAGGCAAATTTCAGTGGTTTTAAATTGCAATAATCTAATTTTGCACATTTAATCTTTGTTATGATCTTTACAATTTACAAAAAAAAAAATACATTTTTTTAAAATGGCGAATGAGATACCCAGATTTCATTTTGTAATTTTAAAATGACCAATGGAAACTCTTCTAATATTTAGTTCTTCTCTGTAAATTTTACAGGAAGTCAAATTGAAAACAGACCGGCCTTCGGCAGAAAATATACGATATCAAAGTTTTAAATACATGTACATGTATGTACTCTTCTGATTTCGTTTGTCGTATGCTTATTTAAAGTCATTAAGCACTTTGATCCTTCGAATAAGTCATACCCACACGTGTGATTAAATAAAACATTGGAACCAAACACTGGTTCCGCTTCAATGAGAGATGTTGCCATTGTCCTCCCAGTGCTCAATTTTGTTAAGCCAATAAAACTAATTACACTATGATCAAAGTTGGTATTATAAATGAATTTTATATTTTGCTGCGTCAGAGTTCATGAATTGGTAATGCATGACTTGTTTCCTGTCAGCTGAAGCACACATGGGAAAGAACGATCATTCTATTGTAATATTAATAAAGAAAAATGCTAAGTTTCGTTTGAACTGTTTAAATGATTATTTGTTTAAAGTGCTCGCGTTCTGCATGTCTACCGATGAATTAATTTCCCTTGAAATGAATGAATTTTAAACAGAGGTCAAATTATTTCACATATTTGACGCTTGAGAAGAAAGCCACTATGTCTGAACTTTATTCAAGCGAAATTTTGTCTGATTGTTGGCGTTTGATTTCTGTCTTGTAAATCTAAAGATGTGTTACGTATTTACCAATTGAAGTTCCGTTTGAAACCAGCCTATCTAAATGCCGTCAGAAAATACAGCACGGTTATTAATCCGGTTAAGTAATAAGTATGTATGCAAAACTATTCAGATATTTCCTTAGCGTTGTTTAGGTACGGGTTCCGCGGGCGGGATACCCGGCACAATCTTCAGGTGTTACCGGACACGGGTGAGCTGGTGTACTTTGTGGGCGCCATTGTTGTCCTGTATAACAAGGAGACAGATACCCAGAGGCATTACTTGAAACATACTGAAGACGTCTCGTGGTAAGTAAAGGGAAGAGCATCGAAACACGAGGCAATCTGATTTGTACGAGGGGCATAGCATGCCCTATTTTATCCCCAAACAGGAGTGTAGGTAACTACTACCTGATCTCCAGTTCATGTATGGGTATACGATTTAAGTCTGACACATTTTTAATAGAAGGTTTCAAAACTATGATACCATACAGAATTTCTTAATTTTTTTTTCGGCGATAAAATTATGCCAGTGTAGTCAGGTCAACGTTCATACAATCTGGCCACTTTATATTCAATTCGCCAATTCAATTGTTTTTTTGTGTCACCGGATACAGATTAGCGGCGACATATAGGGATCACTTCACCGTCGTCTCTCTGTCCTTTCGTCACAAAATTTGTCCGGAACTACTGATGCAAGTCATCCAAACTTTTCAGGAACAAACAGCCTAGTTGTGCATACATGTATATCAATGGTCAATGGTTGGAAATTTTCGTGACAGTTTTCTCAGCAACTACTTATCACAGTCTCTTGATATTTAGCATACAACTTTAACTAGTGGTCACGTACCGTGGGATTGGATTTAATTTTGTACGGACTATTTCACTTATACCAGTTATGCAATTTGAATGAAAATTTACAGGATTGATTGATACCTGGGTAGATGGGTTTTCAATTTGAATGATTTTTAGCTGAGTTAAGGCCCTTGCATAAAAAGCGTTTTGGCCTGAGACTCCTGCTACACAGTAGCTACAACGTGCTACAAAGTATCCGCGACATAAAGGGACCAAACAGTTCAGTTCAATCATCCCACAATACAACTGTTCGTTTGGCTATCATCAGGCTATACACTGATCACTGATAGCTCTTGTTTTTTTGTATTTTGACACTGAAATCCTTTGATTCAAGCAAGGCTGGTCAACTTTGTGCATAAATGTAGCAGGGTTCAAAGGCATGTTTATAACGTTTAAATAATTTAGGGCATGTTAAAATACTGAAAAGTATCGTTGAATGCATAATTATTTGTCATAAAAGTATCGAAATGTAAACAAACTAGCATTTTAACTTCCATGCAAATTACTAAATCATTATCACTTCTAAAGCTGTACTACTTGACAAAATGGTTCATGTAAATGGCCAATGGGTATTTTTTTTTTTTGGAAAACCAGAAATAACAGGATTTGAGGAAATATTTATTAAAGCATTTCTGTGGCTTTTGGGCCATAAGGTTCAGCAACAATACTCATATCTATTTAACCCTGTTTTAATAATGAAGTGGTATTTTAAGATGTGACATTACCAAACCTTTCTTGTAGCGTATTTATTCATCAACACATATATACATATATAAAGATTTGCTTTTATTTTTCTCATTTTCCTTTAAAGCATAACGATACATCCAGATGGTAGCACAGTAGCATCGGGACAAATGCACGGCAAGAAACCGGAAAACTGGGTATGCATATATATATAACTACTTTATCGCGATTGAACTATCGTGTTCACAAAGGTCATATAATTATTATACATGTATATTACGCAATACCGACTTTCAAAACATACTGATATTTACAAAAAAGGCTGATTCCGTTTAGCGACCACTCGCTGTAACAAAATAGCGCCTATGTTGCCCATTTGAACAGACTTATCAACCACGTTGTTGCTAACAGCTCATTATAATTAGCCACTTTATTGATAACTGCATAATTATAGCAAATGACCCATTCAGAACCTGTACAAGCATAGACGATGATTATCTTGTATAATCATATAATTTTCTCTTTTTCACTAGGCTCACATTCAGATATGGGACGGTGAAACTCTGAACACTCGCTACGTGATAGGATTAGGAGTGTTAACTGGCAACGTCATCTCAATAGATTTTTCAAAAGACGTAAGTTCTTTTATGCTGATTTTTATTTTTTAATGCACAAAGAACGATGGAGATATTATAAGTTATATAGATGTTTGTGAAGTTATATGCCCCAGTATATATTTCTGTACAGGGCACATTTGATTGCGATATGAATAGTAATATAATTATAAAGTAGGTACCACCGAGGTGACTTCTAAAGTTGGTACCATCGTAAAGGTCACTAATAAAGAAAGTACCACCGTAAATGAATGTCACTTATAAAGTAGGTTCCATCGAGGTCACTTCTAAAGTTGGTACCACCGTAAATGGCACTCATTAAGTAGGTACCACCGTAAAAGTCACTTGCGATAAAATTGGTTAAATAACCAGGAAAGCCAGTTAAAGTGGACCAACAGCCGAGACTTGACCAAAATCGTGTTTTATCGGTGTTAAAACATGTTTAAATCGGAGTTAAAACAAAACAAACAAATAAAAACAAGCAAAATACCAAACCATCAAACAAATGAATATGTACTGAGAACCATTGCAAAATTAATCAATGAATTATTCATCAACATGATTCAGTTCACCAAAGATACTAATACATTCTCGTTGTTCATGAGCAACAAATATGTTTTCTTCAATCAATGGCACGAAGGATGTCCCAAAGGCATCCTATCTGATGGCATTTTTGCTTGAATTGTTTATTGTTGTCAAGGAGTCTTGTCGCCTAACATTTCCGTGCTGAATATTTGAGCCGCGTCACGACAAAACCAACATAGTGCGTTTGCGACCAGCATGGATCCAGACCAGCCTGCGCATCCGCACAGTCTGATCAGGATCCATGCTGTTCGCTATCAGTTTCTCTACTTGTGATAGGGTTTTTAAGCGAACAGCATGGATCCTGATCAGACTGCGTGGATGCGCAGGCTGGTCTGGATCCATGCTGGTCGCAAACCCATTATGTTGGTTTTTTCATGACGCGGCTCATTTCATCTTTTATTAAAGAAAATCGATTTTAAACTCGATTTTCTCACGTTTTATTTCAAATATCTGGCATATAAATTCATCTTTCAAAATTCAAAATCTGAAATATTACATCCAAATCTGAATATATGACGTTAAAATTAAACTTTTTACATGCTTTACATTATTCCTCTATCAACAAGATAGGACCACTGAGTACATTATTGCACGATATACTTATCACACCGTATTACCGGCGGCAGTGATGGCAGATCACTGCAGTGATGCAGATCTTGAAAATTTAGCCGATCGGTACAGGTAGGTTATAAATTTGGTTTGGTTTAATTATATTACACAAATACGGCCCATATCATTGCTATAAAACTATTGTCCATTGAATGGAGATACTGTAAGGTAATTTTTGGACTCGTTTTTTTTTCTGTTTTAGGACTATTTTGAGCAGGTTAAAAGTGAAAGCCTTGGAAAAAAATCCGTGAAAATGTCTGTTTTTTCTGTTCAAAAAGTATCTCAAGTTTTAAGTAAATTGGCAGGATTTCCTGTTATCAATATTAGACGTTTCATCCATTTGGGGTCACGCAAGCAAAAATATCTACCCCCGTGAGTCTTTTCTTGAAAGTTTTACAGACGCTCAATCTTGTCCGGTGGAAGAAAAAATGCTGCCGTTGTAGGCAGATACATATTATAAAATGCTGCCGTCGATGGCAGAAAAACACGAAAGTGGGCTAACATTCTGACCAGAAATCAAGTTCAATCTTTTATCAATTCCTCTTTTCTTTTGCGTCCTTTTAGTCGGAATTGAGACGTTAAACTATCATTTCTAATATTTTCCACAAGATAGAAAAGTTATTAATGCGGTGTGTGCATCGAAAAAAGCTTTTTTAGCAACATGCAGTTACAATACAAAAAGTGATGATTTAGTACGACAAAATTTCACTATAAATAGAGAAATGAACATGAAAAAACTTCATTTTTTCTATATTCATGCATGTGTGGCTTGATCTGTTCATATGAATTGAAAGGTCAAAAAGAGCAAAAGAATATAACAAATAAAAAAATTCTTAGTTTTTTTCCTATAAATACAGGATTTATTTTCATCTTGTGATATGAATCATCGAAAGGTTCATCTTTATAAGTTGTCATGGTTACAACTAAAATGAATGAAAAAATATATAGTTAAATGGGAGCACGTGATGTTAGAACTGTTGTTAATAGTTTAGCATAGTAAATGTAATTCAAAGGCAAACTACAACGATATTACAAACATGAAAATTTAAAGAAATGAATCCACGTTGTCGTGTTTTTCAAGAACTTGATAATATAGGAAAATATTTCAACTGTCAATAATATTATCTTTCCATTTTAAATTAACATACATTGTTTTATGATACACTGATGCGAGGTTAATAGTCTCCCCTTTATTACATCAATTTAATAATTTATAATCTGCGCCGATTAAGTAAATTTCAGCCTTTATTTGTCATAAAGCGATGAACATTATTACCTCGAGAAAATAATGTCATATGCTAGCAAATGAATATCCACTTACAGAAGTTACTTGCTGTAATATGCATTGGCGTTATGTTCTTAAAAAAGGGAGTCGCTGCTAAACTTAAGATACATATAGTATTGTATGCATGTAACTGACAGACACAACAGATCAAGCACACATGCGATGAATATAGAAAAAATGAAGTTTTTCATGTTCATTTCTCTATTTATAGTGAAAATTTTGTGGTACTAAATCATAATTTTTGTATTGTAACTGCATGTTGCTAATAAGCTTTTTTTCGATGCACATACCGCATTAATGAAAAAAAATCAAAAAATCTAGCAAAACAGCAATTTTTCTTCAAAATTATATGTGAGGCCATGTTTTAACATGGAAAAACTGCGTTTTTGGGTAATTTCGTTTTTTTTTTTATCATTTTCTGTTAACCCATTACCAGATATATACGCCTTTTACGCCTTTTCACCCCCCCCTCCTTTTTTTGCTTTCTCAAATGGTGAAAAAAATGCCTTATTTAGGCCCCCAAAACACTTGTTTTTGTATGATAAATGTTGTTTAAAAAATTGGACCACTTTTTCGGCGCGCCCCCCCCACCCCCATCCAAAAGATACATCAGGGGGTTGCCAGAAGGGGGATGTGCCCCCTTCTGTTTGGGGGGTTTGAAGGGGGGGCGGAGTCCCCCTCATCGCCAAGAAAACTTTGGACTTGTGGGAGGCTAAAAAATGGCCCCAGGTCGATCATAAGGTAAACGTGTAACCAATGCTGAAAAGCCTTTGACTCTATCTCAATCCATTGAGAAGTGGCAGCACTTTGAAATCAATTTTGATGGAAAAAATCAACGCAAAATAGTGATTTTTGGCAATTTTGAGATGTCCCCTAGTTGCTATGGTAACAGGAAATTTCAGACTGAACATGTTGTTACACAGGCAATGGTCCAGTCAACATTTGTGCCAAGTTTGATTAGTATTGAAGCAGTTTTTATAGTTTTATAGCAACTTGAACTTGTAACGGGAGACCTTAAATGAAAACAGCCATTTTTCACAAGATGCTCATGGGGTAATGGGTTAATAACTTTTCTATCTTGAGAAAATATTAGAAATGATAGTTTAACGTCTCAATTCTGACTAAAAGGACGCAAAGAAAAGAGGAATTGATAAAAGATTGAACTTGATTTTCTGTCAGAATGTTAGCCACTTTCGTGGTATTTCTGCCATCGACGGCCAGCATTTATAATATGTATCTGCCTACAACGGCAGCATTTTTTCTTCGACCGGACAAGATTGAGCGTCTGTAAAACTTTCAAGAAAAGACTCACGGGGTAGATATTTGGCTTGCGTGACCCCAATGATGAACGTCTATATTGATAACAGGAAATCCTGCCATTTACTTAAAACTTGAGATATTTTGAACAGAAAACAGACATTTTCACGGATTTTTTCTAAGGCTTTCACTTTTAACCTGCTCAAAATAGTCTGAAAACAGGAAAAAAAAACGAGTCCAAAATTACCTTACAGTATCTCCATTCAATGGGCAATAGTTTTATAGCAATGAAATGGGCCGTATTTGTGTAATATAATTAAACCAACCAAATTTATAACCTACCTGTATCGATCGGTAATTTTCAGATATCTGCCATCACTGCAGTGATCTGCCATCACTGCCGCCGGTAATACGGTGTGCTTATGAACGGTTCGAAAATGAATGTTTACGTCATATGACGACAGATGTCTATACTGTAAGCATAATGACGTCAGGAATATTACTTTACATTCGTTATAGTTAAATTTTTTTTTATCAATTCCTCTTTTTTCATCGTTATTAATCACTCAGGCCTATTGACATTCGTAATTATATTCCTGCACATTTGAACTCCAACCATACAATATTCTACAACTGGTATCTGTTTCCTAAATATAAGCTGTCCAAATTCAAATATCTGATGTTCAATTTCAAATTTTTGACGTTTAGATTATAATATATGACGTTTGAATCAATTATACATCCTTTTCATAAGAAAAATTATCATAAACGAGTAGCACACTAGAAAAAAAAACATGAATAGATCTTGATAAACTTTATAAAACATAATTATTTACAGTATAGCAAATTTTAATTTGATGTAATTTCATAAAGATTCTATGTGTGCAAACTAAAGTACATTTTTGAAAATATATTTTAAACATCGTTCAACAAGTTTGGTGCTAATGCCCAATCGAACTCAACCAATTACAGTATGCATGAATATAGATTAACACAGCGTACCGTTAATACTTCTGAATATAAAATATTCGACAAACAGATGTACTAACAAACAATTATATTGACGCATTTATCATTCGACCGATGTCAGCTAGGAAAACCTTTAGGCATATGATCAACGTAATAATAGTTCAACCTCGGTTGGCTCGAACTACCGATCTCTCGAACAAAATTGCACAGGCCCTCCGAGTTTGAGCGAACGAAGTTCGACTTAAGTTATTTCTTTAGTGCAATGGGGAGTTGTTTAATAAAATTTTTAACATTTATTTTCCCATCTATTAAGTCCATAACATTTTAACCATGCATATTGCTTTCATTTTTACCTTCATTTTTCTACCATGTTTATCCAATTTGTACTTCAGGCGTCCAGTAAATATATATGCGCACTCGATTCAAGTTCAAAACATTTGCTGAGTGTCTGGGACTGGAAGAATGACCGGGTCGTTGCTCGAACCACGGTAAGTTACTAGATCAATAATATGTTGAAAGAGTCACTTGACATAAGATCTTCAATGAGTTATAATTTCATAAAATGTAACCAATGAATTTTCATTATTTGTACCACGTGATGTTCCAATATAAATCATAAAAGGATCTTATCTTATAAATAAGATTCTTTTTTTATTGTTCGTGACAAAAATCTGCATTGTACTCCATATAGTCACGGTTTAATTTTACGAGTCCAAAAATCAATATAAAATCTACATTATACTCTATCTTGTCTTATTTTCATTTCCAGAGTCCAAAAATTGCATATTAAGTCATATTGTACTCGAAACAACGTAATCCTTTGATTATGGGTGTTTACTACAATTTAATGCGTTTTCTTTTCTTACGAATTGGTGACGTGAATTATACTTTATTCAGAATCACACTTTTCTATTGGACTAGTACTTAAATAGCTGCAAAATTTATATTGGACTCGGGTAGCGCTCGGATAACAACATTATAATAATAAACGGTTCAAGAAAGTGTCATTATGCGACTTTGTTGCGAGTTTTACATTTTATTGCAAGCCAAAAATGAAATGACGTCAAATGTAAAGTTCTTTTTTTTATCACATGGTCACATTGTCATGATGGTATTTTATTACCAATCTATATCAAACGTTTTTAATAAAGTAGAGAACATATTTTGAACTGGAACTGTTATTTAGTGCAAGTGTATTTAATTCGGTGGCAAGGATCCACGAGGCGCGTCATGGCGCATATCGCACAACATAGTAATGCGTGGGGGGGGGGGCAAAAGCAACTATTGAAAAGTCTATCTACATTTGAATTTGCATATGAATGTAGGACTATTTGAAATTTGAAAAAGCATTTTTTGATATGTTTTTTTTTCAGCACTAATATTTTCGTTTGACCAATTTGTTCTTAGAACAAACTTAATATACAAGGGAAGACCTGTCAATTTGATGGGAGGGAATACCTTTGTCCAACATTAAAATTTCTACATTTATTCTATCATCAAAGTGAGCTTACACTTTATATCATTTGATTAACTTGAAAAATTGCAAATCAATAACGGTTATATGTTTTTAAATTATGATATAAAAATAAGTTACATTAACAGCCTTCAGAAGATTTAAACATTTTGGAGGTATGGTAGTTTGTAAGGAAAATCCCAGAAATAGGAAATAGTTTTGTAGGTTCAGCTAGAATGGCCTATCTTTGCTGGAATTAGCTCCCTTCATTCTCTTTGAAAATATTTTGTTTAGACTATATTTATATGAAATACAATCAATGCATGCTAGTTTTAATGAAAATTTAATTGTTAACTGCCGTTTGGACTAGAAATACTAAAATATTCTTTCTTTTTCATAATTTAAAATAATTTTAATCAATTACTGCAATCTAAATCTGTTATCGTTAACACAAACGTTTGTTTCAGTGTAGAAATGCTTTGATATTCATCGAATTTGAGCCTTTGTGGTTTTTTGACTTTGGTTGTAAGTTCATCGATGGACTCTAATGATTTCCTTGATATTCTGGTGACCTAACAATAAGATTGAGAATATCATGCAAACTATATGTATACATTTTTGCAATGTGTATATAAAACATGCTGTCTTCTAACCGCTGAAGTGTTTAAACTGTTAAACAATAATTAACTCCTGTTACCTCGAACTCGCTTATCTCGCCTTTTCTATATTTCGGTCGTATTCCAAATTTCCATTTTTCCTTCCTTTATCTATATGAAAACTATTTCTTTCTCTTGACATGTTTTTTACTTATTTGTTTTTCTTTCTTTTTTTAGAAACTCAATATGATATGGCAGTCTCAAATTTTTGTCATACGCTAATTATTCTTTGGACTCCACTAGTTTGCTTACTTATAAACAATTTAATGCTTCACGCCTCCAGATGAGCCAAAATATTTCAAGAAAATCAATATTGAGAAAAATGCACTAAATTTTTAAGAAAAGTTATAGCATTCAAGATCCAAGTTATATTTGACATGTTATTTGCGTTTTAACACTGATTTTGCAGTATTTTATCACCATATTCCTACTGCGTTACTCACATAGTAAGGGCTGTTTTTGCATAAGTTGACCATTTTTTTGTTACCTTCGTGGATTGCAATATGTAAATTACTTTATTTGTTCAACTCACACTATTTTACTTTTAAATAATTTCCAAACAAAATATGAAAATTAACATGAATCTGGAGGCGTGCTGCTTTAAAATTAATCATGTATAAAGAAATGATTGTGGTCGAGTAAAACTTATTCAGTACACACAGAACAGTGGTGCAATGTGTAGTGTACTCAAATAACGAATAATCCAACTGGCTTGTTATTATTGTTTTCATTTTCTTAAATTTGAAAAGTTGATGCCAAATTATAAGTAGGATATTCCGATACATACCCTGAATGGATTCTTTGATTAAATAACTTACTAATAACATAAAATTTTATATTAAATTTTACGCCACTCGTTAGTCTATTAAAATGGCACTGATGATAAATATTGCATTCAAGATATACTTTGAAGCCTTTGTATTGACATTAAAATTGCTTGGTAAGAGAAACTATTCTTGCGACCAGTGCATGACAAGATTAGTAGACCTGTTCATGGTTTGCACTGGTCGCTATTCAGTCTGTATATATTTTGAAATACTCCCTAAAAGATGGAGAAAAGTTTTCTCAAGATTTAAGAATGGGCATGCCCATTTAAAGTGAATTAGTCTGACTCTATATAATGAGAGGTTTATTATACAATGAAAAGTTACGTTGATAGTATTTAGTATTGGACAAAACAACGAACAACGAAAAAATATATATGGAAGTTATTGGCAAGTGTGAGATACAGGATTTAAATAGCAGATAAAACACGTGTTCTAGAATAAAAAGAAACATTCATCAGATAAATTTTGTCATTCTAAATCACTTAAAACTTTGTCAACATTTTTTTCAAGCAGCATTTTATAAGAAAATCCAAATGATACGTTTCTATTGGTGTTTTTATCACTATTTAAAATACAAATGGGAAATGTGCCCATTGTAGACCAATCCACTTAAAAAATTTGCGGGAAAATGAGTTAATTTGTATAATCTTGTGCTTATTTAATGTAAGTATTCACATGGCTTTTTTATTATCTTTGCTCTCTGAAAACAGAAGGTAATGTGTACACCTGTATTTCATGTTGTATTAGAATTGTGTAATTTTATTGTTTTCTTTTTCTTTAATCATATAATTATTATGGAAGTTTAAATGTTGCATAAAATGGACTTTGTTTGTATACAACGACGGCACGTTGCCCTAAATAAAATGGGTTCAGAAGTACGTACTGTAACAACAAAAGTATAACGGTAGCTGAAATAAAGTTACAAGAGTTGTAGGTATTAAATGAGCTCGAACATCGCGGAAATTGCCGAAAGTATCCGATGGGCATTTCCGATCCGCATAAGGGCATGCCTAACATAAAGTGTTGTTCTTGTTATTTTGATAAGCCAGAAATGACATAAGACTGATACTTAACCTAAACTAGTTCTGTTTTCTTTTTTATTCTCCTGTAGTTACAGGTTTAGATAATACCGTTTTTAGTCCCCTACCGGTTTACCAGAGGGGACTTTAGGTTTACCCTCCGTCCGTCTGTCCGTCCGTCCGTCTGTCCGTCCGTCAGTCCGTCCGTCCACAAAACTGGATCCCGCGATAACGCAAAAAGTACTGAAAATATTTTAATGAAACTTGATATATGGATAGATGGCAGTATGGAGATTATGCACGTCTTTTTCTTTTCTTCCTATCTTGAAAATTCTGGTTGCTATGGCAACAAATAGACTGAAAATATGGCAAATTTTACACATAACCTGGATCCCGCGATAATGCAAAAAATATGTTTATGAAACTTGACATATGGGTAGATGGCAGTATGGAAATTATGCACATCCTTTTCTTATCTTCCTATGTTGAAAATTTTGGTTGCTATGGCAACAAATAGACTGAATTTTAAGATTTCTGATTCTAGTTTTTAAGTTTTTTCACTATAAGTTCTTTATTTCTTAAGGTATTTTCTTCAAACTTTAAATATAAGTTGCTTGTCATCAACCACATCATATGTGACAAGGTTTACAACTCTAGCACAAAATTTATCAGAATTACCTCCCTTGAACTTAAAATTTTCATGAAAAAAACATTGTTTTTTTTAATAACTTCTTTTTTTTAATGTATCTACTTCAAACTTAATATAAATGTTTCTTATTATCACTCAACATTTGTGAGTGTTCAATACTCTAGCAAGACAATTTCCAGAATTATGCCCCTTTTGAACTTAGACTTTTTTTTTGAGAAATTGGTAATTTTTACTCCAACTTCTTCAATCATGATAGGATTTCAAAAATGTTATATTTTGATAACAGGGATGTTTAAAAAATAACTTTAGAGTGTCCTTCAGTCTGTCTGTCTGTACATAAAAACTGTTTCCTGTGATTACTTTTAAATAACTTTTTTAACAAATTTACTTAAAATAGGAACATAAGTGAATGGCCAATGCCCTTCAGAATGTTGCTTGGGCTCTTACCGGTAGGGGACTTATGGATTGCTTGCAATACTATGATAATTGCTTGTTCTTCATTATATTTTCCTAAGACAAAAGTGTTGTTTTTGTAGGCATTAGAGTATATTAGCGCGAGGGATATGGTAGGGAATATCGCATGAGTTAAAGCATGAAGTTAATAATATTAATTCATACATTTTCTTTTTAAAGAACAACTTTCACTGTCACTCTATCTTTAATAGAAATTTTATAGAAATTTATGTTATTTAGGTTTTTTAGTGTTGATATTCGTTCGTATGGTTATACTTATTTCAGTGCAGAAAATATTTTCCTCTGACATGTACATTCGTGTCACGACCATTAATTATGATTTAAATGATTTTATGTGACTTTGTGCATGAATGTGTCACGAATTGCCACATATGGATTTCACTGAGAGTCTAGATTTTTTTACAGAAAAAATGCATTATAGAACAAGAAAAATTGTGATTTTTTTCTCTTACACTTATTGAATGTATCACATCGTTTTTAACTTCTTTAATTAATTAGTTAATTATTATACACACAGGAAATGAACAGGTGCCCGAATATGTGACGTCATTCAAAGATTTATCAAATTTATCATGAAGAGGCCATCATATAAAAATAATGTCTGTAAAATCAGCCATGATATCATGTATTTAAAAGCCAAATAGCAATTTATTTTAAATATCTAACAAAACATAATTCTTCCAGATAAATAAAAATTGTATATTATAAACATTCTGCAAATTCTTTGCAATCTTAAAAAATGATTTCAATGATTTAGGATAGGATCGAATTATATGATTTCCTTAGGGAGATCAATACATAAATTGTACACTCGTAATGATTCACTATTATGACAATTTATACTGTTCATTTTAGACGACGCTAGAATCCGTGCACTGCGCGTCCTTCTATCCGGACGGTGCAAACAACAGCATCTTGATTACGTACGGCGTACGTCATATCTATTTCTGGAAAATATTCTTTGACGCCGCACGCAAAAGCGATGCTAAAATATTCAGAGACAGACAGAGTGGAATATTTGAGGTAAATACAATGTATATACATAAATTACTATTAATTAGCTTTGTGTTAATAGATAAATATTTTCGTGAGAAAAGACTTATATTCGTGTGTCTGTGATAATGTTGTACTAGTAATTAAACTATATAAATGACTCGGGTTCCAAGTTATACCGTAACGTAAACTAGCGTGTCATCACTTGAATATACAGCAGCACTCGATTCATCTTGAAGCTACAAAAGACCGGTGGGGACATTTCAACTTCATGAATTCCCGATTACATTATGGAGTCTCGATTTTAACTTCACGAATTCACGATTTCAACTTCATGAATTCATGATTTCAACTCCACGAATTCACGATTTCAACTTCACGAATTCAAGTTCGTGAATTCACGATTTCAACATTGTGAATTCACGATTTCAACTTCACGAATTCACGATTTCAACTTCACGAATTCACGATTTCAACTTCACAAATTCACGATTTCAACTTCACAAATTCACGATTTCAACTTCGTGAAGTTGAAATCGTGAATTCATGAAGTTGAAATCGTGAATTCGTGAAGTTGAAATCGTGAATTCACGAAGGTTAAATCGTGAATTCACGAAGTTGAATTCGTGAAGTTGAAATCGTGAATTCATTAAGTTGAAATCGCGAATTCGCGAAGTTGAAATCGTGAATTCATGAAGATGAAATCGTTAATTCGTGAAGTTGGAGTCGTGAATTCTCGAAGCTGAAATCGTGAATTCATGATTTCCGTATGTTGCAAACGGGAATTCACGAAGTTTAAATTGTGAATTCATGAAGATGAAATCGGGAATTTATGAAGTTGAAATGGCCCTACCGGTCTTTCGTATGAAACCGTCTATTTTGCAAAGTGCGGGCTTGTATTTAACGAATTCCGTATATTCCATATTCAAACCACTCGTATTAGTTCAAGTGCTATAGATAATAGTTCATTGATATCTGCAGATAATTTGACTTCTTTTATTTTTTTGTGTTGGTTAATATGTGAATTATAGGCCATGTTTTTTGTGGATTGACAACTTTTTTTAACACATTTAAAAAAACTGTTATCATAGCGCCAGTGATAAAACGATTTTACTTAAAGATAGTAATATTGTGAGAGATATTTGCCCGATCCTGGGCCTCAAAATGGCGACTAGGGCAGGTAAAGCATGTTATTTAAAACGGGATCGATATCATAATGACCTTAACGGCGCCTTCTGATTTATATAGGCATTCACTTTACGATTGTGACCCACGATCAAATAAAATGTTCATTTTTCATAAATGAACACAAATATCAAATGTGGCAATAAGTTAGTAATTTATAACTAAAGTTAACAAAGCAAGAAAACGAGAAAATTTACACAATGTGGTCTTATATTCTATCTGATATACATTTTTTGTTATAATATCTACACGGTTTTCATGCAGGATCGTTATGTTGACGCCGATCTCATTGTGAGTCTTGTCTAGAAACCAAATGTAGTATAGATGTTAAAAGCTTATCCATACATAATTTCATATATAATTTTATTATAACAAAAACTTAACTAATATTTTCAAATAGATCGCTTTAACAATCTTTTTTATTCATCAAATTCTAATAATTATAATTAAATTGGTTTGTCTTTTAAAATAATATTTTTCATCATTTATGATAATACTCATTTTTATTCTAAACAAATTGTTTCATCGAATTCTTATAAGCAAGTTCTAATAATCAATATATTCATCGAATTCTAATAAACAAATTGTTTCATCGAATTCTAAAAAAAAAATCTTCTTTTTATCCATCGATTTCAATTAATCAAATTCTGCCATCAATTTACTGTAATCGAATTTTTTCATCGATATCTTATAAATAAGTTCTAATAATCGATTTTTCCCATCGAATTGTTTTATCGAATTCTACGAGTCATTTCTTTCGTCAGTTTCTATTTATGAAATCATATCTTCAAGTTCAAATGATATCATCAAATTGATTCACGGATTTCTTATTTATTAAATTGATTTGTCGATTTCTTATTTATCAAATTGATTTATCGATTTCTAACATCTTATTTATCAATAGCTTTCAGAGGTATGAATAAACACGTTTATTGTTGTTAATATTTTACCACATTTTGATGCTTGTTGTTTTATTTATGCGTTGCTTGTATATGAATAATTTATTGCTTTATATAGTTGAGTTAGCACTAAATGAAAATATTTTTAGGCATAACAATTTTCGTGGGCAAGGTCTTTCAAACAGAATAGTCTTTATATTTGAAAGATCCTGCCGAGGGTAAAAGACTGCTATTTTAATTCATGGTCATCTGGTTTTAATGGCATTAAGGAATGTATAAATGAGAAGGTCAAGTGTTCTCAATAAGTCAAGTGAAGTCAAGAAACATTTCTTTCACTCATACCATCTACTAACATGACACAATGAAGTGACAAATAAAAATTAATGTACATCGAGGCTCAAATAGCAGTTAATTAATTAACATGAGAAAATGTAATTATTCTAAGGAAAAACTATAAAAGTAAATAATTAAACATAAAATAATATTATGAGGTTTGTATACATTCAAGTATTTTTCTTTTAACACAATTTCAAAATGGGATTCCTATTATGTTTTCCAGTTTTAGTCTATATAGACACTATTTTGTTTGAGTGTTTGATATAAAACATATATCAGTAGAATGATTGGGTTTTACAAGATGGTTTAAAATAAAACACTTAAAACTATCATTTTCATCTAACGTATAAATGACAAAATAGAAGGAGATTGCAACTCACATCCACGGCTTTTTTACCAGCTTTTTTACGTGTACACCGTTTTACAACTAATTATTTAACCATTTATCATAACGTTGTTTTCTTACATATTTTTATGTTTTATTACACAGAGAAGTACGGAAGCACATAGGTGACATACGGAAATAAAATTGAATCTCGTGACTTTGAATATCATCATTATTATTAATTAATCATCAATATTATTATTATTATTATTATTATTTTTCTTCTTATTATTATTATTATAATTATTATTATTATTATTACTATTGTTATTGTTATTATTATTATTATTATTATTATTACTATTGTTATTGTTATTGTTATTATTATTATTATTATTATTGTTGTTGTTGTTGTTACTATTATTATTATTATTATCATTATTATTATTAGTATTATTATTATTATCATTTTGTCAAAACATTTTGAAACGTAATCTTGAGATATTTTAATTTATCTTTTTTTACAAAGTACTAAATTAAATAAATATGATTTCTTTATTACCATGCTCTTACCTTTTATATGTTTGAAAAAAAAGTCATACATTTACATCATTAAATGATGCCTAGTTAATATTATGTTATGTTATAAGAAAGAGATAGTGCATTCCTGCATGTCACCCTTGTGTCTCCTCCGTATTAAGCATGATATTCAAACTGCACTTTTTGTGTGATGGAATTGATTTGCCTGTCTTTAAAGGCTTTCTATCGTTTTCATCTCCATATGGACTTATTTGTATGTCTTTTCCATAATGACATTGCTGTTTCTTTTTTTCCCGCAATTTTGCAAAGGCATACAATGTATAAGTCTAGTTTATACGAGTTTTTTAAGAGCGATTGTATTAGAATAAATAAGCTTATTGAAGCAAATTATAAGTTATCATTTAAAAGAAAACACAAGAGAAATTTTGATCTTGATATCATATTATTAGGTAATTCGAGATCACATGTTTCACATTCATATTAAATGAATATATTATTCAATACAAATAGAAATTGTTTCATCATGAAACTCAATCAAAATGTCTTTGTCTATTCACATGACAATCCATTAATCATTACAGAAGTAATATTCACAATCCAGCAACTCTTCAAATATAACTTCTACAAAATACAATATTGTACAATAAAATATACAAATAACACACAATAAGGGCGGGCGTGGAGGGTAAAATAGAATTTTCAACATGTGATCTTCTTGTCAAACGAATACAGAATGAACCAAAAAGGCAGAAGCGCAAGAGACAAAAAAGTTTACCGCCAAAAATATAGACGACCAATAGAAAGTTGTTTACATCAGCAAATAAAGTTCAGATACATACAAATCTACTAAGAGGATTTCATACCACCTCCTTAGTAGCATAATCTCCAAGACTGGTCATTACCAGCTTACGAGACTGAGCCTTTCTTGAGAAACAGTGTGTCTCAAGCAAAGGCATAACGTACATATAACAACTAATGCATATATTTGAATATAAACATTAAATTCAATATCCTGAAACACTCTACAACAAGTGTATACACAATAACAAAACCACTAAGAGGCATTCTTTTAACCTCCTTAGTAGAAAGTAATCTTCAATACTAGCCATTGCCAGTTTGTAAGATTTAATCTTTCTTGAGTAACCAAGTGCCTCAAGCAAAGATATAATGACATTAGAACATGACACTATTTTACGAATGTATATTCTAAAGATTATAATAATTACGAATTACATATTTTACTTAACAAGCTGTCTAGAAATACAAATATTGAAACTTGCAGTAAACATGTAGCGCTCATCCAACACTAAGATGTAATTACTTTAAGTGAGCAATGGTATTAATGAAAAATTCTTTCAAACGCCTTGTACCTTCTAGATTAAGATGTAAACCACCGTCTTTTATAGCATAATACTCACGACGGGGCAAGCCACATTTAAGAAAGGGTTTGAAAGTTCTAATGAAAATAACATTTCTTGATTTGCATAGTAGAACCAATTTATTGTTTAAATTTTTAACCCTATTACCAGTAGTATCAAAATCTATAGGGCGTGGAATAATTGCAGATACAATAATGCTTCCAGAAGATTGTTGACGAACATTGGAAATCAAATCGTTAAAAGATGAGATAATCTCATCTTCTGAACGAGGGCCAGTTACATCATTGGTACCAACATGTAATATGACATAAGCAGATCTAAGATCAACTTGACCTTGTGAAATACGAAAACTTAACCTTGAAATATTAATTCCAGGAAAGGCTGTTATTTGAGTATCCCAAATACCTGACACATTTTTGGCAATGGAGTCTGAGACAATTGTACACTTTCGAAGTGGTGGATGAGCTACATGTTCTGAAAACATACAAAGAACAGTTTATTAATGACTATATTTAAATCAAACATAAAAAACATGAGAAATATCCTTCATAATTTTACACTTATCTTCAATGGATAGTGAAATATAACGTTTATAAACGTCAGAATGCCAATCTCCAAGAATTTGAATTTCATCTGAACTAATATTATTCTTAAAGGCAAGGGTAGCAAAACCACGCCTAAATGAATGAGAGGAATATAATGATGAGTCAAACCCAAGATCATTTAAAACCTGACGCAATTTATTTTGAAATAAATAATAAGTTACCGGTTTACCATTAGGTAAAAGAAATAAAGCATCTGCAGGTTTCCCAGGAATGAATTTTAACATGTTATCATATGCAGTAACCGGACACAAACAAGAGCCTGGTAACTTTAATAGAGGAGTCTGTAAAAGACGTTCTCCAAACTGAATTGTTTTGGTCCAATTCATAGTAACTATTAAGTCACCATGAACACGAGTAACATCAGACCTAATCAAACATTTATGATTAATTAAATCTTTAAGTGTAGTTGGAACTAAATTTGACTTTCGTGCCAACAGAAAAAATGCAAATAAAAATAAACACCAAAGAACTAAGTTTTCTGGATCTTTAAAATTCAACGTCAAGTAAATCTTAGAAAGAATAAAAGGAGTTATAGGTTGAGCTTGTTTTACACAATGACATTTCAATCGGGAAATTCCACGAAGAGTGAAATTTATCAAAAAAGTATTCATTTCATTCAAATTATAACCCAATAACTGATGAACAGTTCTTACACCACTTAAATAATTTCGAATACTAGCCACAGATTTAAAAGATCTACTAAGAAATTGGGAATATAACTGAATTGTTTCAGTTGAAGCAGGTAAATAACAGAAATTGAAATACAAACAAAATAATATAAATGATTCCCATTGAATTTTTAAATTTTTTCTACTATTTTCTGCATATGCTGAAATATTAGACAGTTTTAAATCTGTCTTGAGAGTCTTCAATTGCAGATCTGCAAAATAAACCAGAAGACAAAAAGAATTACCAGTCATTAACAAAAGCAAAATCTTGCTGTAACACCTCATAATGATCTAAATGAAAACCAGATGTTAACCGAAAAAAATTCATCTTTTGAAATTTTTTGTGTTGATACCAACGAGATAAGCAATCAGATATACGATTGTCCGTACTAGATAAATGTACAGCTCTTATCTCACACTCAGCTTTGGCCGTCAAAAAACAAAATTCTCTTAAACCATCTTGCAAAATAGGGCATCTAGCTTTGCCAGAATTTAAAACTGAACAAACAACCTCATTATCACAATTAACAATTATTTTCTTACCCTTGAATTCAGGAGACCACAGTCTTAGGGCCAGAATAATACCAAGTAACTCGAGAACAGCTATTGAGTAATTTTGACCTAGTATGTTATCAGGGAAATTTGAGTGAAAATACTTCCCTTTGAAAAAACCACCACAGCCTGTAAGACAGGAATCCGTCGAAAAAATTGCATCAGGTCTTGACCAATTTTCATATATCAAAATAGACACTCCATTATATTCTTGTAAAAATTTATGCCACCATAAAATATCTTTTTTAACTTCTGATGGAATTATAACATAAACATGAGGAAGATAATTATACAATTCTTTAAGCCAATTTATGAGTCTACTTATAAAAATTCTGCTTGACCGCACACAAGAAGCCACAAAATTTAATTTGCCAATAAGAGACTGTATTTCTCTTAGCGTTGCCTCTGTTTTAATTAACCATACTTTAATTAAATTTTTGATTTCAATTAAACGCTCCGGTGTTACTTCCATTGTCATAGAATTTGTATTAAATAGAACACCCAAGAAGGTCATTACTTCTGAAGGTGTACAAGCTTTATTCACAGATTCAATAAAACCACATTTACTAAGAATTTGTCCTAAACAATCATATGCAAAAGGAGCATTATTTTTCGTTTCAGCCCCTGCTAAATCATCAAGATAATTGAGAATACAAAAACCTATCTTATACATAATAAAGGCTATTGCATTCGTAACCCTTTGACATATCTGAGCAGCTGACCTAAGCCCCATGCTTAGAACAGTGTCACAAAAAATATGTTTTTTCCAACAAAAAGCCACCAGATTATAGTTGCTAGGACAAATACTGATTTGTCTGTAAGCTTTTCTCAAATCCTTTTTAAACAAAAGACAACCTTGACCTTTTGATTTTATTAAATGAACAAAATCATCAATTCGAGGAAAAACTAAATCAACACGTTCACCCAAATAACAATCTTTATTAATAAAATCATTCACAGCCTGACCTTTGGGCATACTTAAATCTAAAATAATCCTTCTTTCTTCAGTATCCTTTTTTGGAACTGAATTCAATGGAGAAATTTTTAACTCAGAAGTAAAGGGATTTTTCTTAAAAGGGCCTATAATACATGAATCAGCACTTTCTTTACCTAAATAATTATTAATATCATTTGGATAATCATTAGCGCCAGAATGATTCTTGTACTTCCAAGAATCCAAATGATCAAAATGGAAACCTTTATCAATAAAACCAATCGGAAAACCATATTTCAAAAGATCACAAACTAACAAATCCCTATAATCCGTACCTAACATACGTCTCATAAATTCAGTATTGATTTATCATTAACCTGAATTTTGCAACCTTCATAATTATAAAGACCAGATTGGCGTACCTTCTCATGAATAAAAACTTTATCATAAATAAACATCAAATCTTTTTTAGTGACATTACAAATGTTACATTTCACTGAATGTTTACAAATAGTATTTTCAATAACTGCTGAATCAACAATATTATTACCCTGTGTTTTACAAAATTTTGGAAAAAATAGATCTACAACATTTTCATTAATTGTCACATTTTTTTTAAGATGATCATATCTATCCACAAGTCAATTTGTGGAATACGGGCATGAACTTGAACATTCTGGATGTTCCAACTTGACCTTATCTTTTATCCAACAAGATGCACAGATATGTTGAGATAATCTTGCAATGCCCTTAACAACAGTAATATGAGGCGCTTTTTGCTGACATTTATTTCTTTGAAATTGACTACAGAACCAAACTCTTTCTGTAGTAACACTAGTATCTGATCTACTTTTTTCAGTCTTATGACGAACATTCATTGATTTTTTGTTAACATTACTCACATGACTAGATAAAATTGCCGATTCAACATATTGATACGAATCTCCCCATTTAAGATGACCTAGCTCAATCTCTCTTAAAACAGCTGCATACAAATTCTTAACAACTACAAAGTCATAGGAAGAACAAAGATACATAAGTTTCTTTAATAACTCAAGTCTAGCCTTACGTTCAGAAGCTTGCATAGACGGGGATGAAATAATTTCTAATTCCCCTGCAACAAACAAATTCCATTCTAATTTGTCAAATGTAATTGAGCTAGTGACATATTCAAATCTAAGACTGGATTGAGGATATTGTTGTCTACTGACTACTTTATCCCCAGCCTTAGCCAAAATACCAGACCTAATTTTATTCTTCGAATAATGAAAAGTATCAACATCAGAATCTTCTGATGAACTTAAACAATTAGACACCTTTTTCTTCATATTCTTTGATATCTTATTCAAACTTTCATCACTGCAAGTGTCTGAATCTGAATGAGAAAAAATATCCAAACCAATTTTACTAATTTTCGACTTCGCTTTCCTTCGTAGATCTGTGTTTTTTCTCAAGTCATTAAGCGTAACATGCTCAATATCTACATTTTTACTTGAATCATCAATAACTGGTTTTTTACTAGAATACAAATTGATACCTCGTACGATCTCACCTCTTAATTTTTTAACGTCCTGTTTCTTCTGTTCAATTTGTTTTCTCAATACGTCTGCTTCGGATAACTGTTCCTTAAGAACCCGTTCTTCTTGTTGTAAGGCGCTCAGCTCCTTCTTCATCTGAATGATACCAGAATCAGTCTGACGACTTTTACTATTCAAGTCTGTATCCCCAGAAAATTCATCATCCTCGTGAAAACTGACATTTTTAGCGGAAGCGGAAGTTGGCAACAAGGTCGCTTGTGTAGTTTCCTCGGAAAACAATTTAATATCTTCCATGTGTTCCTCTGTCCAGAAGGATTCCTGGTCTTCATCTCCGAATCCGTCATTTAACAATTTATAGTCCACTCTTTTACCTCTAGAAGGTAATATTTTTTTCTTCTCCAGTTCCTTGGACGCCATGTTAGTCCCAAAATACAAACAGCTTACGCGGCACGAAGTACCGAAATAAAGTTTATTCGTATTCAACGAAATATTATTTACTGAATACGAAAACTCCTCTTGGTATGCACTATAAAATCCTGATGAATAAAACACCAGTCCATAAATCAAATAAAATACCAACATATGTGGAACAATTCTGTAGAATAACTTTCAATAAATTTGTGTAAAATAGAATTTTCAACATGTGATCTTCTTGTCAAACGAATACAGAATGAACCAAAAAGGCAGAAGCGCAAGAGACAAAAAAGTTTACCGCCAAAAATATAGACGACCAATAGAAAGTTGTTTACTGCCTACGTAATGCATAAATTAAAATCCACCAATGAAAAAGAGTTTTTAAAAAGGTCAAATTCATTCAACCTTATAATTAAGTTATTTTAGTTCAAAATAAACAACTCTCTAATCCGTTCCTAGAACCAACCATGGCAGTATCAAGTAATGTGTATAAAGTTTTTTTCTTTGCTCAAGTAAGCAACGGCTTGTTTGAATCCACGTGGTCTGCAATCCTTAGATTACTAGTCCATCATGTTAACCACCCGGCCACGCCGCCACCACATGTTTTAGTTTAAATTGTTCACAAATTTTTAAACCCTGATTAGAAAGATGGAAGCTAATGGGATACTAGTAATTGTGCACAAATGTCATTCTAAACGTAGGATAATGTATTTAAGTTATGTAACATGTAATATTTGTTGTACCAAGAACTTAATTTAATCTCAAGGTACTCTTTTAATTTGAAAGAGGAGGCCGATCTGAACGCTTCTCAAATTTATATCGTTACTATGAATACAAAGATATTTTATTTTAGTTTGTACTACAAATTTAATTTAAGCAAAGTAAATATAAATACAGTAAGAGTGTGAGAACATTTGTTACACGAGTTCAAAGAGATTTATAAAGCAGTAATGTAATTCAGAATCATGAAGTTCTGGCAATATTTTGTCATTTTATAAAAATAACGAACTCTTATGAGCATGTGCTTTGCCGCCATATTGAAAATTACTTGAATTATGACGTCATAGTGGAAAACTCCCGTACACTTGGCACACATATACTAAATATAGGTACTATGAAAACAGTCAGGCTGTTTTCGACTGAATACGATTTTATCCGAAATATGTCGATATATACCTACTCATTACGTTCGTAATCTTAAAATGATTTTATTTATCTTTGTTTATATACATGTGTTCATAGTATGACGAAATTGTTTGAATATAATTCTTGACTTCATATATTTTTTCAGAAAGACATTCCGAATTCGATTAATTGTATAGCTTTTCTTAAATCTGGTGATGTCGTGACCGGCGATACCTCAGGTATTCTCATGATCTGGTGCCGCGAGGCCAAGGACGTGTTCAGATGCCGGAAAGAGATCAGTGCTTGTGACGTAAGATTTTATCGTAATTCTTCACAGAAAATGCCAATCACGACGAATTCGTGAAACTCCGGCTAAGTTCGTCGCTTTTGAATCGAAGAACCATTAACATGATCAGGATTAACAAAGACATGTTGTTATATGCATTTAATTCTAAATGTAAATCAATGGGAAAAAGAGTTAAATCAGTCAAATGATATAATAACATTAGACTCATTGTCTAAACTTGACTTTGTATCATAGTTTGGGGACCTTTCTATTGAAAATGTGTCAGAGTTAAATCGTATACATATACATGCACAGTGCGTTAACTGGAGTGCAGGTATTAGTTACCCGCACTCCAGAGCATGTCCATTGATTGGCTCATTTTTGCTAAGGTTTACATATTGTGACGGAAGAGAAAGGGAAAGCGACAGAAATATCATATTCAGATGTTCGTTCATTGGTTCCTTTTTGCCGGGGTTTCATATTGTCACAGAGAACGTGTTTTTATGTTTGACTATGATACAAAAGAGAAAGATCATCAAAACACTCGGCAATCTAATTAATACTCGGGGGCTACGCCCCCTCGTACAAATCAGATAGCTTCGTGTTTGGATGCTCTTTCTATTACAAAGATTACATTTAAGATACTTGGCGCGTCAGATAACAACCAAAATGAAGATATAATACATTGTATGTATTCAGTATTTTAGGGATATTTTTTCAGAAACAGTTCAGTTATGTCCGTACATGATAGATAATAAACACATCCATGGTGCATTATACATTCTAAGTATTTTGTGTGTGACACTGTTCGATGCTATTTATATATTATATATATATATATATATATATATATCAAAACTGTTGTACAAGAAAAAATGTTTACTTAAGATTGCCTCTAAAATCCTAAATATTTGTGAATTACTTGCGTACTGTTTTGTGCGCACGATTAATGACATTGTCCAATGATACTTTATAACAGAGATCACGTGAGTTAAGCCATAAATCACGTGAAGTTCTTTGTATCGTGACAGCTGTCAAATCAAATTCATCTGTTGGACATGACATAGTTACAAAACTGATATAGATGTAAGATTGTACTAGTTGTTTCTAAATAATTGATTTATTACATACTATGTCATGTAGTTGATATACTGGGCCAGAATTCTAAATAACCCTTAAATAATGAATATTGGATCACTTAATTAACTGGTGTTTAACCATTGTCCACAAGGTCATACATATTTATACACTTTTCAAAACTATTCACGCAACATAAGGCCAAACTTATGAATATATTTGTTTCCATTTATTCTGACCAATATATTTACATTACTAGTATACTGAATACCATAGCAAAATATCTATGGTGACTAGATTGGGCCATTGACAGTTATTCAGATGACAGATCGAAAATTAAACAAGACCAAAGAGTAAAATAGTTTATTGGCTTAAATGAAATAGATAACTGGCTTAAGTGAAATATTTTATTGACTTATGTGAAATACGTACTTGGCTTCAGTGAAATATTTAATTTCACTTCTAATATTTCAGGAACCAATCACAGCAATTGTTTATATGGAAGAAGACGACAAGCTGTTGGTAGCATCTGGAAACGAGATTAAGGCACTGGATGTAAAGAACGGTTATACTTTGATTGATAAGAAAAAGGACAAAAAAGAGGTAACATACGTTTGTTGATATATGGATCTTTCCTGAAATATAATCCTTCATGAATCCTCCATATAACGACCCTTAAAATGTGATTGATTTATTTAAGCTGATTCAACAAACTCTTGCCTTCATTTTGCGGGGCATGGGCAATATACAAGATAAAAGTGAGTTTGCAATAACAGCGCATTCAAAGCTATAATCATTATTATATCCATGTATATACTTTGTATTGCAACACACGTGACTTGTATTGTGTTTTTTTTTCACAAAAGATGTTATTCGACAAATGTGGGTGGTGGCGTCCGTGGCCGAGTAGTTAAGGTCGTTGACTTTAAACCACTTTACCCTCACCACTATTCTTGTTTATCGGGTCACAGATTCATATACTAATGAACCTTAAGTATCGGGGAGAATTGCATACCTCACTGAAACCGGTGCTAGAGGGGCGTATGAGATGCTGAGCCTTCATTGCAATCTCTCACAGTCAGTGCCTGAGAAGTTTTCAGGATTGCAAAAAATATATATCAACATGCAAAAATTTTATTCTTATATATTTGATTTATATTTTAATCTTATTTGTGATTACTTATACAGATACCTCAAGGAGCGGGTGACATAATGACGCTTGTCCCGCAGGCGCCCAGGGGGGCCGGAGGTAGAGTGTATGTTGGAACTACAAACGATGCCATTTTTGAAGGTTCCATGAAGCAAAAATTCAGATGCATAGTTCAGGTACACGGAAAGACTTAATTTTATTTTATATACGATATTAATAAGACAAAAAACACCAAAAATAGAATCATTGGCATATAAAAACTGACTTTTATTTTTTTTATTTCAATCAGTAGAATTTAGAATTAACTTTATGAACACATCTGGGGATGTTTCTTAATTCGAAATTTCACCATTACCATCAATAAATGTTGAATTCTGCTTAAGCCGGTGCTATAGGACGTGGACGGTTACTTGCATTTTCCAATGCTCAATTGAACCGAGCCTGCAACATTTACAATTGTGTCGCTTTGTGCGTTCTTTAGGGATTCTACATTTCTCTCTATTTTCATGCATTTCCGTTCGCAGCATGTTCCCCGATAAAGCTTAAGATTGACAAGAAAAGTGCTCTTTATTATGTTATCAATTAATACACATCTGCAGATACATATATTTCTAAATTTAAAATTTAACTTACTTTTGGTTTCAAATAAGGGTGATGTGGGCTGGGTGTAAATTTACCATTGCCGTCCATGAACGGGTCCAAACAAATCGAGCCTGCAAATGTGTTTTATGTTTATCGTGTAGGGCCTATTTTTAGGATTTTCATTTTGACTTATATTAGTTGTACCTGATCTCATAAGACTTTACAGATATTCCGTTATATTCCAAAAAATGAATATACCATAATATCTATTTTTGTAAACTTGTAGAGTCACTATGACGGGTACTGCTGTGTGGCACCGCATAAGATCGAGCCTACGTTCTTTTCTGCTGGTTTCGATCAAGTGGTTTACAAGTGGGGAATGATAAACCATAAAGTGATATGGGGGACTCATATTGAGGTTTGTATTTTAATTATAATAATTAATTATGTTTTTAGTTAAAATTAAATTTAGTTAAACTTTTTTGTGACTTTCTGAAATCCTGGCTGAACCGGCGGAAGAATACATAAAATGTCCCGCTGTCATGGAGCATAGATTAATTTTAGTATATGTGTGGAGGCATTGCACCTTCTCACCTTTCCGATACCTTTGTTTGGCTTTACTGATAATGAACTTCTGGGTAAGTTACCACTTTACCGTGCATTAAAATAATGCAAGAATTACAGAGAAAATAAATTGTTTTACTTCCACGGACAACGATATTTTGATACTTCGTATAATGCCTGTCTGTGAAGGGCCGTGTGATTGCATAACTAAAAATGACTTTCTCTTGAAATCCGGATCGCAATGCACGTGAAACAAATACGGTGGCAATCAGACCTACATGCAAGAAATAACTTTAATAGATCTGAGCTTTAGTCAAATACACTGGATAAAACGACCTTCAAAATGACAATTAAATGATTATGGAATAGGTTTGTCTTGGAAAAACATTGATTTTCTATTTATATCTCTTCTTTTAACAGCATCCGTGTACAGCGTTGGCAACATTGTCGAAAAACATGAAAACGTTTGACATTGTGGCCGTTGGCACGGTTATCGGGGCCATTTATATTCTCCATGCCTATAACGGTATGAACCTTACAACTGTAACCGTTGGGATGGACCCAATTGGATGTCTTTCTTTTTCTGATGGTAAGTATGTATTTTATTTGTACTTATGTACTCTTGAAATAATAATATCATCGTGTATTGGGATAACGAGACAACAGTTGATGACATCGACAACCGACAAACGGTTCACGAGGCGTGAATGGAGAAATGGTCCGTGTTTATATTCTTTTAACAACAAGAGAATTGAATTAAGGCTTCAATCGCTTATATTATACCTTTTTTAGGTATGCTTTATAGATCTAAACTTCATTTCACCTACAATTTTTTCGAAAATATAAAACCGGGTTATTTGATCTACAATTATTTTCCGCTAGACGAATATCAAACGGGTGCATCTTTTCTCATTTGTTTGGTGTGTTGAAAAGAGTTACATAGGCATAAGCTTGAATGAATTGAAAATACTGTAAAAAAAATGCCAAACAGACACAAAGAGCCAATAATTTAAAGATTATATCCCTAAACCTGCTAAAATATGTGTAATGGATTTGCCCTGTTTTGAATTTGGAACAGTCCCTTCAAATTTTAGGGATTTAAATTACAAGATACAAATATAAGGTATTCTGTCGTTCAGACAGACCTTGCCCGTACTGGTGTGGCAAAGGGTAATCACATGGTCCAGCAGGTGATGTGTTAAACATTTTTTGTCTATCTTTTGTCTATGTGCTCTTTTTTTATTTGTTGTTGTTGTTGTTGTTGTTGTTGTTTTGACATTAATATTAGTGTTTCAACATAATTTCAGATGAAAGTCGTATTGCTGTCGGATGTAACGATGGTTCTATAAGCGTGTATGAAATACCCGACAGGAAGACGTTTATCAAGGCCAAGGTCTCATCTATGGTGAGTAAAAACTGTTTTTTGAGGATTTTGATCATTGCTGTATCCGTAAATATGCGACTAATTTCAGATGATATCATATAAATGTAGAGCGCGCCCTTTCACTTCTTATCAATCAAATACTGAAATCTGAGTTTGACCTGAGGAAATTTCTTTACCTCCTCGATGTTATAAAAACAGTTCCCCAGCTCAAGCGCAGATCTCTCATGTATTTGTTTGGTCAGAAATTGTGACAGAAAATACAATGAAAAGCCTGATATTTGAGAAAGAATGGTTGTACAACCCTGAAGGCATGGTCTTGTGCCGGTGACTAACTTGAATCAGCTGTTCAAAGAGGATTTTGATTGACATGTGCCTCTTGGTAAAGAGACTTTCCAATTCTTATTCCATTGTCACCCTGACAATACGCAATAATCGGCTGATCAATTGTTTGTTCCAAAATGCCTTTAAATAATTCAAACTTCTAAACTTGCGTGCCAATGCTTGTAATATATTTGAAATTAAGATTTCTGACCTTCATGTGATGTGCAATCTAATTTGTATTTGCTATTTGATGACCACGTGTTTCAGTGTCACAGCGATGCAGTAGCAAGCCTAGATTGGTCGACGGACGGACGATGTATACAAAGTTCATCGGAGTCGAACGAGCTGATGTTCTGTAAGTACTGTGCTAATGTTTTAATCTTAATCTCCCGGAGAAGCAATTGTTGCTCTAAAGGTGAAATTTCTTGACCTAGCAATTCGACATGATTTTGTGTCAAGGAGTTCTTGTAAGAGGATGTCAGTACGGTCTATAAACAATGGTCTGTCAGAGTAGAAAGAAGGTCTCTAAACGATGGCAATTGTTCACCTTTGAAAAAGACAGAACGAATTGTAATATGAACGTTAAAAAGTTTACAGTTATAAATTTTGTCGACATTTTATCATCCCCGGTAGATACTCTCTTGCGCATCGGTCGAATGTTTCAGGTCGAATGTTCCACTATCGCTCACTAGCGTGAGTGTATTCAATATTCAATGAGCTGCGAAGGGAGTGTACCCTGGTAAAATATTAGTAATTTCATTTAAGTAACTGTTTATTATCAACTTTGTGGGTATCAAGATGCAAATTTAAAGTAAGTCAACCAGCAGTAGTTCTTTGTAAATTCTAAACTCGAGCTATTGCACTCGTACAGGCGTTGGCCTCAGCGGTTGTTTTTGCGTGCTGTTGGTCAGTCACAATCTACTAAAGGGAATAGTTTGAAACTCCACATTATTAATTGAGAGCATAATAGAAGGGCACTGTCCAAACATGGATTATTTTGACAGAATTATGGCTATTTTTGAACTAAGGGAATTCTACATTATCCAAGCTTTTTTCTAACTATCAAGCACCGAGAATAGTCCTACCGACAACTATTGATAAATATAATATTTGAGTTTGTAATTACTTAATAAACTATTTTCCTTTTTGCTGTTTTAGGGAATACAGATACGATGGATCCTGTAGAATCGCCATCATCTGTCAGAAATATAGACTGGTCTACAATGAATTGTCCATTGTCATACGGTTATGTTGGTGAGAAAAATAGATTGTTTATTCAACTTTCCTTACAAAAATATAAATGCTCGTTAATAATATGGGACCATTGATTATAAATACGTTTGCGTATTTTTGAAGAATTTTTATATGATTGTTTTGATGTTCTCGTATGGGGAGGAACGGGGTATTACGAGGCGATTATCTCGCTGTACTTTTTGTCAAAAGTTTGACATTTAAGTTGTGTAAAGTAGTTAAGAACCAAATAATTGGCATTTTCTCTCATTTTGGCCAATGACTAAATGTTTTTTATATCCTAATCCAAATGTATCCCGTAATACAAATAAATAATCATAGTATATTCATTTATTTATTTAATGATAAATAGAGCAAATATTGTCTTAAGATAATATTTTTGATTTAATAATAATAACATAATTTGAAGTTGGTTTTAAATAGCTTATTGTCTTCGTTGAATAACCGTGATTTATCAAGTTTACTATTTCACTTACTTTTGTCTCCCTTTATTCAACATGTCTGCATTTTTTGTATCATTTTATAATCAAGCATAAGTATGTTTGATTATTTTCATTACTCGGTCGACATTTATATATAGCATGCACCATGCAACATCTAGAATATTTATGAAAATCTAAATCCAACATTAAAGTCCCAGTTTACATAACCCGGAAGCGTCCGGTTCCCTCAATAGGTAGAGCTTTGGACTGTGAATTGGGCGGCAGTGGTTCGATTCCCGAACGATTCAGGTCATTTTCTTTCTAATTGACCATGAAATCCTTTCCTTTGTTATTCGCACTGTACATATGCTCTAGCATTTACATAATTTATCAGCTCCTTGCGAAAGTGAAGACAACTAGTACTGGTAAACTGCTTGGCAGCCTGCCGAGGTACGATGCGGTGCGGTGACTGAACTGTGCTCTGGTTAATTCAAAGTGGCTTACTGCTGTGATCCAGAGGGTAAACTAACATAACCACAACCACCATTAAAATCCTTCTTCCCTTTATTCAGTCTCTAAATTTTAAGAATACATGAATAATTTCAAGAAGTACATGTTATGAGGGCAGATTTCGTTGTTTAATCATGTTTTCCTTTCTAATTTTCAATATGATCTCATGATATTAGATTTTGTTATAATTTAACAGGACCTTGGTCTAACATGGGAAAACGAGAAGTGATAAAAGTAGCCAACCGCTCACCTAACAGAAAATATTGCATTATGGGTGACTCGTGTGGTAGAATACGACTTTATAAATACCCATGTACAAAAGAAAACGTAAGAACTTTTCTTTGTAGAAAATAAATCGGTTTCTTACAAGTAATCATTCTTGAATAACAACAATCCAATTATTTGACATATTTTGCATATTTTGAAATCTGACGAATGTTGTCGACAGTTTCCGTAATTCATCGAAATATTAAGACTGTAGATGAAGTAATACATTTGTTGATTTACGGTAAAGAACGTCATTTTTCGTAAATATCGTTATATTAATGAGTATACATACTGGCTAAAGATCTATGTAAAATACGGAAATGGTCGAAATATGTCGGACTTTTACAAACTTATGATGCAAATGTTCTGTTCAGCATTACTTTGGACATGATAGGCATTGAGAAAAGCTTTCAGGCCTATTGTTGATAATGCATTCAGTGTCAATTTTTACAGACATATACTCTCAGGATACTATTTATATATCTCATGTTAAAACGTGCTTTTGATATGTATTGCAACTCGTGATATTTTCTTTTTATGTCAGGCGGAATTTAAAGGCGTTCGAATATACGGAAGTGACGTCATGGCATTGGCTTTTACCGCAGACGACAACAGCCTGGTCTCGTGCGGCGGAGCAGACGCAGGACTGGTCCAATGGGAAATCACTGACGATTAAAGACTTGAATGTGTAAAGCGGAAGTAGGCAGAGATACGGAATACGAATGATAATAAAATGATGGTCAACTTTTATTTTTTTTTCCTTACAATTCGAACCCGTAGGGATCTGTTATTCGAATTACACAAATACTCTACAAAAACTATTTCCGCGTCTACGTGTCTTATTTTTATATTAAACCTTTTGCATAATAGACCTAGTCGAGGGCTTTCATTATTTATGTTAATATTTACCATCTTTTTGTTAAGATTCAATAGAATTTAATTCATTTTGTTTTTCTTCAACACACTCTGTATGTTTCATATATCTTTTGTATATACATGGATATTTATTGTATGTGAAAATTTCTTCTAAAATATAATCTGTCTGTATGTAACGTTTACATAATTTTGGGGAGCACTGGAAAAGTTGACTCAAGGAAGTAAAAAGAACATTAACTTTTTATAACTTTTGCTATATATTTCTTTTCGAGTTTCACATTACAAGCAACTATTATTTAGCATTTTTTTAGTGTTAAATAACAGACATATTTATGAAAGGAAATGTGTGAGTGTTATTTTAGTAAGAAAATGATTAATTGATAAAGAAAATAATTTTAATTGAAAATTGAAATTGTAAACATTTTTTTTCTCTTTTTTTTGCAGGGATGTTGATATGATGAAACTGAAAATATGTTTTTTCGATTTTTTTTATAGGACTTTGCCAATTATATGTGTAAAATATACGATCATTCTTACAGTTCGTTTTTGCTGAAAAATTACTTTTCTTGTGCAAAAAGACCTCAAATAAAAAGCCTTTTAACCGCTTCTAGCTCAAATCGGATTAAGAACCTTGGATACCCTTTAAAATCTCATGCCGTCGTTGTCTTTATATCTGAAAAGAAAAATCATCAAAAATAGAATGACACCAAGATTTATAAGAATTATACGTTTACATATTTATAAACGGACATCTGTAAATGAAGGTGCTTTGATTTGAAAAGTTCGTCTATGGGTATGTAGCACTTTTTTGTCGAATTGATTAATCCTTCTGATATAGTTAAAAAATTTGATTTGGATAAAAAGAAGACATTCGAAAATACACATCAAGTAGTCTCTATGCGAGACTTTAAACACTAAGACAGATAAAAACTTTTCAAAATTGTTTAAAATTGACAACCAAGCACCTGATCGGCTCAAAGGGCTAGCTAATTTATCACAAAAGATGATTTATCGCACAGGCTTATCAAACGCTCGACAAATTCCAAAACGTCTTATTAAAAGGGAAGTTTGTCGTTGTTATACGAAAATCATTTGATTGTTAATAGATGAAAGGGTCCTTTGATTTATTAATCTACTGACGATGTATATTGTAAACAGAAGAACCGATTTGTGAAGTATTTCTGCGGTTTAAGTAGATACGTCATGCCCAAAAATGTAAGACTATATGTATATTAAAAAGGACTAAGCGAACTATCTATTCTTCTTGAGTTTTTTTTTTAGTAAATATAAAATGTTTATAAACAGGGGTATATAGATGTATATGAACAATGGACATTGTTTATACATTTAATTCAATAACAGCCGACATAATTACCGAATAAGTTGCAACGGAGTGAGCGAACGATCTTAAATTTTGCAAACATGTTAATGGTCTAGACCTCACATCAGATTGGAGCATTAATTTCGAAAAATTATTTTCAGTCCCGTCATGTCAAAAAGCACTAAGTGGAGTCCCTTTAATCTTCTAGTGATCTATATAACTTCTGAACAGGCACAATGACAAATGACTGTGTTATAAAGTTTTGAAATAGTACGAAATGTTTTGGTTTATATGAATGCCTTTACTTATCAATAATAAACGAGAAACATCTTATTTGTCCTTACCTTGAATAGTTAGCTATATACTTGTAGTGTAACTTAAGTCAGAGAGTGTTAATCATTGACTTAAATTAGTTATTACCGAGTAGCCGAGGAACGCTACAACTTTACGACATTTACAATTGTAGTTGTTTACCCTTTAATTTGCTGTTACAGTATTTCTTAAATGGACATGTCCCGCGTCCTGGTGTGACACTGTCTTTTATAGCAATATTCAGGATATCAAGATGAAAATCTTAAGTTAGGCGACTCACGGTATCGAACCGGGTCAGTCTGCACAGATGTCTTGGCTGGCCGGGTTCTATACCGGGGGCAAAAACTAATCACTTTTTTTCGATTTCAACAGCGTAAGAGTTAAAAAAAGATATTACCATACAACGGTCGCAATTACTATTTCTGAAGACAATGAATTATAGCCCCAGAGAAGTAAAAAAAACGGGATTTCAAATGAGCCGCGTCGTGACAAAACCAACACAATGGGTTTGCGACCAGCATGGTTCCAGACCAGCCTGCGCATCCGCGCAGTCTGATCAGGATCCATGTTGTTCGCTTACAAACCCTATTACAAGTAGAAAAACTGATAGGGAACAGCATGGATCCTGATCAGACTGCGCGGAGGCGCAGGCTGGTCTTGATCCATGCTGGTCGTAAACCCACTATGTTGGTTTTGTCATGACGCGGCTCAAATATTTTTCACATGTATTGAGTTATCAATTGGTGATTTCCCATCGGGTCATCAAAACTTCCCCTTATCTGAAATGTCGATAGCTCCGATATCGGGTTACTCTGTCCATTTACTGTACGTATGAATTTCGTTTCTTTACAAAAAGTTTTCAATTTCTTTAAAATGATCAATTAAGTCTATTGAATTTAGCTACTTTTTACCATACTATTAATATTTGTGTCCAGATTAATTTGGTCAACACGCTTTATTCTTGTTTTGATATATAAATATCTTCTAGATAATCTTTTGTGCATGTACAGTGAAAAGGCTCGAACATGTTCTGTAGTTTAATAGAATGAGTGGGTTTTTAATGTTTTGTTTTTGTTTATATCTTTGGAACACTAATCTTGTTGAAATTATTGATGACATAGTTGATGTAAAATAAATGCTCAAATGTTTTTTTTATGTGTTTAGGTATCATAAGGAATATTTGTAAATTGATTATGTTTTCTTACAGTAAGCTAGCTTCTATAGTCTCGCATTAAAGTGGATTGGTCTACAACTGTCACATTGTCCATAATTATTTCAAATGTTGATAGAAACAATATGATTGTATCATTTAGATATTCTTATGAAATATTATTTGAAAAAAGATGCCGATAAAGTTCGTTTCAAAGTGATTTAGTGTAAACATTTATATGAATAATTGCAATGTTTTGTTCAAGAACAATTTATTATCTTTTATATAAATATATGTTATATCGGATTAGTATCTCACTCTTGCCATCAACATCCATACATAAATATGTTGTGATTTGTTGTAAGTTATGCCTGATACTTAATACTATAAACGTAATTTTTTATTGTATTACATTCCTTCAAATATAGACCAATTCACTTTAAAGTGTCCCATCTATTGCATCATTGATTTTTGTTATTTAATTTCCCGATTTATTACGACTTCCACATAAAATTGTAGCTACATTTTAATTTTGAAAGCTAGTCTCCATAATCAAAATTATTTTATCATAATTATGTAAGTGTAGATAATTAAAAATTTGTTCCTTCCACATTAGTAAGTATGTTACATTTTTTGTTCACAATGAACATTTTAATTTAAGGTCCTATTTATTCATACAATTTGTACACGTTTATTTTATTGTAAAATATTTTTGTAAACATTAAATCGTTTTATATGTTAAACTTGAGAATAAACATACATGTATTTTCAACTTTTCTAGAATGCTATTAAAGTTTTTCTGCGTAGATATTTTTGTTAATAATCTAGATTTTCTTTTTTAATCAATTTTTTAAATTTAATTTTGCACGAATGGTTAAGAGAAGAAAGCAATTTTGATCTGTATATATGTATGACTTTTTATTTCCAAATTATGTTATTGTTAGTTACAATAAATACATATTCACAAATGTATGTGTTTTGCCAAGCAATTGATATAGAAATAAAAGGTCATATAATTTGAACTGTCATGCAAAATCACTTTGATTAAGATTATTTCATGTACTCAAATGTTAATTGTTTTAAAGTGGCATTATGTAAGTATATTAATATTATATATATAAGTATATAGAAGTTTAAAATACATTTTAATCATTTGATACAGTCAAAATTTGACCTTTCTAACCCTTATAATGAAACTGAAAGGGTAAGGCCTTTCGCCACCAGTATAGAACCAGGCCAGCCTGCACATCCGTTAAGTTTGACCAGGTTCGATACTGTTGGTTACTCAATATAATTTTTTTTGTATTTTAATATTAAAATTTCAATTTCTAAAACTTCTGGACTGATCCAAATTAAAAACAGGACAAAGCCATTATTCAAATTCAGCGGGATAGAGGTGGTCGTTATACACAAGGTTGACTGTATATTTTGGATCTTTGTTTTTCTTCACATTCAAATCATTTCTTTTTCCTTTTTGTATGTATCAGCAATAATATTTCTGATATGTACATTATATACTTAGAATATGTTTAAATTACTATTGTATCTTATTTAAGACAAAAATAGTTCCATTTGTAAGTTGTTGATGTTTTATTCAAACACTACATGAACGTATGTACTATTTTATTTTAATGTAATATATATGCATCATTTTTGCTTTTCTTTTGTAACGTTACCTGAGAATACTTGCATGTATATTTAATATTTATATATAATACATAAAATAACTGTTATTTATTGTGAACTGTGATAGACAAATATTTCTGAAATTTCTACTGCAATAAAAATCTCCTTTATTTATTGAATAAAAATGTTGTCCATTCTCATTAACATCATAAGACATTTTGAGAGTGTCACCTTACAACGGTTTGAGGGAAACACTATTATTGTCTTGGAAAAACACGAAAAAGAATTACTTATTCGCCATTTTTCGTTAAACTACGGATTCTAATAATTATCAATTGAGACTAAAATTTGGTCTTAAACTTGGATCATCTGACAATTGAATTAACAATTATTTTAATTTCATTTTTTGTAGAAATGGTGTTAATTGAGAGTTCGTTTTAATATTGAAGTGGTTTATATAGGGATTCTCCTGTAACTGAAACGTCACGAGATTGGACTGAACGGAATTCTTATATATTCATACTTATTTATTTACAGAATGTCAAATTGTATTAAATAGAAACATAAATGAAAAACAAGGCATAAGGTTAGAATTTCGTAAGAGAATAGTGGTAGAATTTGGAAGAAAAAAATGACAAGATAGAACTCGCGGTCTTATTTTGAAACGAAACACTATGTAAAATTTAAAACGAAATACAAGATTTAAAAAATGTCACATCGCAATATTCGGAACAGAAACACAATGGAAACTTTAAAATGAGGTAAAACTTGTAATAAAAAAGGAGGCAAACCTTTCGAGTGAAAGGACTTAAAGTTATGAAATGAAACACAGGGTAGAATTTTGAATTGAAACACGCAGGATAATTAAAATTCCGTCTTAATCTGCACTAGAAGGTAAATACCTTCAAGTATTGTGAACTCCTATATTTCATTTCCTTAACTCATTGTATGTTTTGAATCTATGTGTGCGTGCGTGTTGCGTGT